AGTCACGTCGGCGTCAAAGGAACGACGTGCGACCTGTCAGAGCTTATGCGCCGATCGCAGCTGCCTTCTGCGCGTCCTGGGGATGTACCTTTGTCGCGCGCCGGAGACGACTCGACGCCGCTGAGATCGGAGATCAAGCTCTGACAGGTCGCACGTCGCTCCTTTGACGCCGACGTGACTCACCCGTGCAGATCACATCAGGACACGGTCTCGACGCGCTCGGTACGACGCCTGCGACCCGTCTCGGGTCAGGTGGCACGACGCTCATCGCGCCTACCAGCGCTGCCGTACAGGTTGCCACGACGAGGTCGAGCACGCTTCTATACGCTCGCCGAGCCTTCCTTTCCATCCCATTTGGCAGCCTGGGAACGGTGGCGGTCAGAGGCAAAGCATACGAGGGGTGGTGGAACCACATGTCACGGCTACTGCCGGCTCGACCCCACGATAGCCTCCGGAGGCTGACTTTGAGGCACAATCATCGGACGACGTCGGCGAGTTGAGTCGCGCTCGCGGTAGCCAGATGACCTCTCATACTAGTATCATCGGCCATGGCCGCAGGAAGCGCGGGGGAGGGCGCTGGGAGCAACACGGAGCTCCGTTGGACGTTTTCAAGATTAGCGTGTCAGAGTGAAATGGAACTAGCCACAGTAATAAGACCCGGTAACCGATACTCTAATGCGGTTACTTTAATAGTGCATCGTGTGAAGTATACGCGGAAAACGGCTCTATGTTTTATTCGCTCCCCCCCCCCCCCTCACACACCCCCCGCCGCTACACGAGTGCTCGCGCCTCTTGCTGGAGCCGTGCTGGGAGGAGCGCCTCTCCGCGCCGCCGGCGGGGTGCGCGTGCCCCCTGAGACGAGGATCGGGATGCCGTGCACCGGCGGGTTGCAGTGGATGCATGACTTCCACGTCTCCCGGTTGGCGAGCCGCCACTCCTTGGTGCAGTGCTCGTGGCTGCGCGGGTGGAGGTAGTCGTCGGGGTCGCCCTCGACGAATCCGTCCCGGAGGAAGGCTGCCCGGCCCGCGTCGAAGGCAGTCGCCATCGCGACGCCGTCGCGCGTGGAGAGCGCCTGGTAGAAGCCGCGCGAGAAAGCCTTGGCGGCGGGGTCGGCCGCGAGCGTGCGCCAGCAGACGACGGAGAGGTGGGGCAGCGAGCGGCGCAGCGCGTGCGCGAGCTTCTCCGTCTTGCACGCGTTGAGGAAGACGGCGGTGAGTTCGGGCGCGCGCTGCGGGGAGAGGAGACGGACGAGCTCCTCGGCGTGCGGGACGCGCGGCTGCGCGCCGGGCTGCTCGGGCTCGAAGAGAAGGTGCCTATCCATCAATGAGGGATGAGGAACGAGGAATGGTTAACGACCGTTTCTCGGCCTCGAAGCGCAGGAGGACCCGTTGAACTCGTGGCCGGAGAAGGAGACGAGCCGCGGCATCAGCTCGCCCTCGAGCAGCTCGGCGACGTCCGAGAGGCGAGCTGCAGGGCAGACCTCGCGCCTCCCCTTGGGCAGCGCCGCGGTCAGCTCCTGTATCTCGCGCATGAGCCGCAGGTCGCCCGCCGAGCGGCTGGGCGGGTTCGAAAAGAAGGCGGCAACCTCGTGGGGTGGGGGGGGGGAGGCGAAGTCCAAGGCGAGGGGTGGAGGGGCGTGAGCGGGCTCGCGGGGGCGGCGAGGACCTCGAGCCGCCGCCGCTCGACCGTGTCGTCCGCCGGCCGGAAGCAGCTCTTGAGCAGCAGCTCCGCCGCAGAGGGCCTCGCGTCGGCAGGGGCGAGCATCGAGATGAGCAGTCGGACGTGCGCCTGCGGGCCACAAGGCGTGTCACGTGCTGGCGCGAGCCTCGAGGGGGGGAGGCGGGTGGAGCGCCTCGGGGCACTTTCGGAGCGACCACTCGGGGCATCTCGGGGACTCTCGGGGTGCTCCCTGCGCCTCGGACACGCGGAGCGACCACTCGCGCACGCGGGAGTGCACCGCCTCGGCGGTGACCCCCGTGGCCGCCATGGCGGCGATCTGCGCGTACGTGACGTCCTCTCCGAAGAAGGGCCGGCCAGCGAAGAGCTCGAAGAGGACGAGGCCGGCCGACCAGATGTCGAGCGGGGGGCGAAGCCGGACCTGCACCACCACGCGGGACGTGTTGTGGGCACGGAGCCAGTCCGGGGATTAGACCTTGAGCGAAGGGCGCAGGCGCGCCGTCGCGTGCAGCGAGATCGAGAGCGCCACCGCGAGCTCGGGCGCCACGTACCGGCGCGAGTGGCAAGGGGTGAGCGACGAGCCGTCCTTGACGGCACCTCCAAAGTCGACGAGCTTGAGTTCGCCTGCGGGACGTGTCGCGGACGCGTCACGGACATGCGCGTGCCGCCTCCACCCTGGACGATCTCGAGCCACCGGCGCCGCCGAACCTCATGAAGTGGTGCGGCTTGATGTCGCAGTGCACAAGGCCAACCTCGTGCACGCGCGCCAGCAGCTGCAGCACGCGCTGCGCGAGAGCGGTGAGCATCAGAGTGGACTCGCCGCCGCCGCCGCCGCCGCCACCACCTCCTCCTCCTCCTCCTCCGCCTCCGCCGCCGCTAGTGAGAATGATGATCTCGTCGTTGCGGCCCTTATCGCCATCGCCGCCGCCGCCGCCAACACAGAGCTTCGCCGCCTCCTCCTCCTCGTCCACTGCGCCGCTGCCGCTGATGGCGCGGCGGCAGATCGCGGCGATGTCTTGGTTCGAGCCGGGCTGCGCCGCCTCGAGCACCAGCACCACGCCTCCCCCGCCGCTGCCGCCGCCGCCCAGCCGGAAGGAGTCGTACACCTCGCACGCGGCGGGTTAGGGTTAGGGTTAGGGTTAGGGTTAGGGTTGGGGTTAGGGTTAGGGTTAGGGTTAGGGTTAGGGTTAGAACACCTCGCACGCGGCGGCCGAGCCGACCCGCCGCAGCGCCTCCGCCTCGCGCTCCGCCTTGCGCTCGTCCGGCACGAGCTTGAGGAAGACGTCGCGCCGCTGCCGCCGGTCGTAGGCGCGGCAGCGCGTGCACCGCTCGTCTCCCAAGGCCCACGGCCGCTCGGGGCGGAGGAGCTGCTCGTACCTTGGAGCCGTGGACGTGTCGTGGACATGTACATGTACATGTGCGTGTGCATGTGCATGTCATGGGCGTGTCGTGGACATGTGCATGTGCATGTGCATGTGCATGTGCATGTGCATGTCATGGGCGTGTCGTGGATGTGTGCCTTGGACGCGTCGTGGACGTGTCTTTGCTCGGGGCGGAGGGAGCTGCTCGCACCGCCCGTCGTCGTGTGTGGCGACGCAAGAGGAGAAGCGGAGAGCGCCCGACGGGTCGCGCGACAGGTCGCGCAGGTCAGAGTACGACGAGGCGAGCGAGGCGGAGCCTTGCACCGACCCGTGCAGCGCCGAGAGGGCGGAGAGCGAGACGACGGACGAGGTTGCGGAGACGGAGGGGGAGGCGCTGACGCCGTCGGGCGAGGGCGAGGCTCCGCAGGAGAGAGGCGAGGGGGCGCCGTCCGGGGTGAGGCAGTGCGGCGGCCGCATCGGCAGCGGCGGCTCGCAGCGGCGGAAGGAGACGAGGTAGCGCGGGACCGCCTGCGGTGCCGGGTGGGTGTGTCTGCGGTGCCGGGTGGGTGTGCCGGTGCCGGGTGGGTGTGTCTGCGGTGCCGGGTGGGTGTGTCTGCGGTGCCGGGCGGGTGTGTCGGTGCCGGGCGGGTGCCGGGTGGGTGTCGGGCGGGTGTCGAGGGCGCGTGCCAGCGGGCGTGTCAATGAGTGTCAATGAGTGTCAATGAGTGTCAATGAGTGTCAATGAGTGTCAATGAGTGTCAATGAGTGTCAATGAGTGTCAATGAGTGTCAATGAGTGTCAATGAGAATGAGTGTCAATGAGTGTCAATGAGTGTCAATGAGTGTCAATGATTGTCAATGAGTGTCAATGAGTGTCAATGAGTGTCAATGAGTGTCAATGAGTGTCAATGAGTGTCAATGAGTGTCAATGAGTGTCAATGAGTGTCAATGAGTGTCAATGAGTGTCAATGAGTGTCAATGAGTGTCAATGAGTGTCAATGAGTGTCAATGAGTGTCAATGAGTGTCAATGAGTGTCAATGAGTGTCAATGAGTGTCAATGAGTGTCAATGAGTGTCAATGAGTGTCAATGAGTGTCAATGAGTGTCAATGAGTGTCAATGAGTGTCAATGAGTGTCAATGAGTGTCAATGAGTGTCAATGAGTACCTCTCGGCTCGTCTCGGCTCGTCTCGCCTGGTAGCGGCGGAATAGGACGAGGACGTCGGCGTCCGGCACGACGAGCGAATCGCGACCTCGCTCGCGCATCTGCGCGAGGTCGAGGGAAGGCCACCCCTCGCCCAAGCTCTCCGGCGGCCTCTCTCCCGGCCGGATCTGCCAGGTCGATCCCAGCACCGCCTCGCAGAGCAGCAGCGACGAGTGCCCCTCCGCCGCCACCTGTTCACAGCCACAGGTGTGAAGAGACGCCGTTCACAGCAGCGACGAGTGCCCCTCCGCCGCCACCGCCGCCGCGGCCCTCGAGGCGGAGAGCCACAAGTGCTGCCTATCTCTCGGGTACACCTCGGCTAGATCTCGGGTAGATCTCCCCTCGGGGCGGAGAGCGGCAAGTGCTGCCCTTGGCCGTACGTCCCTCGCTGCCATCCTGCGGGGTCGAAGCCCTCGCGGCAGATGGAAGCAACCTCCGCCTCGCCGGCCGCGTAGAAGCAGCCGCCTTGCGGCGGCAGGTAGCGGCCCGCGCCGGGCGAGGCGAGGCAGCGCGAAGTGCGGTCGAGGTAGTAGGAGAGGAGCGAGTTGTGGACCGACTGCACACGCACCGGCTCGAGCGGCACCTCGCCGTCGCAGGAGTCGCCGCAGCGCTGCAGCTGCAGCCGCACGTGCCGCAACTCGAGCAGGTCGCTCACCTATGGGACATGTCCAGGACATGGGCAGCCACCGATGCGACGTGCACGTGGCCAGCTCGAGCATTCGCTCACCTCGTCCAGGCGGAACGTCTCCTCCGGCACGGATCGCTCGCGGCGCGGCGGCGCGGGGGCGGCGGGCGGCGCCGCGGCGCGCACGGCTTGGAGCTCGAGCAGCAGCCGCTTGCGGTGGAGCCGGTTCGAGACTCCGATCTCCTTGTCGAGGTCCGACGCGGAGAGGGAGCAGAGCACCTTGCCGTCCACAGCTCTCTCTCGGCTACATCTCGGCTACATCTCGACTGCATCACGGCTATCTCTCGGCTAGATCTCGGCTATCTCTCGGAGAGGGAGCGCCTTCCCGTCCACGGCGGCGTGCGCAAAGGCGTCAGAGTACTCGCCCATCCCCAGCGCGGCCAGCCACGCCGCCACCGCCTCGGCGCCTCCCACCGACAGAGCGGCGTAGTCGACTCCGCTCGCGTGCCCTCCGCCGCCGGGTATACCCGGGTCGGGGGAGGCGGACTGGCGCGAGGGGAGCGGGGACCTTTCCCCTTGAGGGGACCCGCACGCGACAGAGGCGGACAGGTCGAGGCTGGCGGCGGGGGAGGCGGCGGCGGCGGCGGCGGCGGCGGCGGCGGCGGCGGCGGGCGAGGGGGCGGCGGAGGAGGAGACGGATGAGGCGGGCGAGGCGGCGGCGGCGGCACTCCTCCTGACGGCCTCGACAGAGCCGCTTCCGCTTCCGTGAGGCCGGTGGGGCGGCTTGTTGCGCCGCCGGCCGGGGATGCGGCCCGCCTGCCTCTGGTGGGTGGCGGGCTCGGCGGCGCCGACGGTCGACTTTGCTCTGCGCGGCGATGGCGACGGCGAGGGCAGCTGCTGCAGCACCGAAGAGAAGGAGGCGGACCGGCCGGGCACATACCCACCACCCTCCCTCTCCGCGAGCAGCGGCGGGAAGGCGTCCACGTCCGCCATCGGAGGAGGCTTACCTCCGCCGCCCTCCGAGACACGGCCGGCCGCCCCCGCCGCCCAGGCCGTGCCGAGCGGCGGCCCAGCCGCCCTCTCCGACGGCGCGGGCTGATGCAGGTACCGCCCGGGCGCAGCCTCGTGCGCGCCCCACCGGAACGGCCTCCGCTCCGGGAGGACGAGCTCGATCTCATCGGCGGGCGGTGGCGCTCGGGGCGGGCGCGCGCTGGCGGAGGCGGGCCGCGTGGGCTGCAGCAGCACCTCATGCACGTGCACATGCGGCGGCGCCGAGATGTCGATGAGGTGAAAAGTGACCGCAATGGTAATGCAGGACGCCTCGGCGCCGACGGCGCCGGCGAGCTTGCCCCACTCGAACGGACCGGGCGACTGCACGAACTGTTCGTTCAGACGACCGCCGTCGCTGACGATGCGGAAGCTGATGCCACGGATCTCCGCCGCCAACGGCGAGTCCTTCATCAGCGTCTTGCGCACCTGGCCGTCGGCGCACTGGCGCACGTAGACCACCCAGCGCCGACCCATCCGCTCCTCGCGGACGTCGTGGCCGATGATGAGGTGGAGCACGCCGCCCGGGTGGGCGTCGGGCATGCCCCCACGCGGTCGGCCAAGTGCCAGCTTGGCACCCGCGGCCGTTGCGTTTTTTCTCACACACCTGCCTCTGGACCTCCGTTCACGTGCACGAGCTTCTTGAGCCACCCACCCACCCACCCACCTCACGGCCCGGCTGAGGCTTGGAACCACCCACCCACCCCCACAGCCCCACCCACCTCACGGCCCGGCTGATGAGGCGAGGAAACCCACCCACACCGTCACCGACCGACCCCCCAGCCCTGAGCGCTGAACGACTGAACGACTGAACGACCGTCGCCGCAATCGCCACCGCCGCCATTTTGACGAGCAGCACGAGCAGCCGAGCCCGGCCTCGACCGGCCGCGCCGCCGCAGCAGGCCCGGAGGCCCACATGGCGGCCGACCAGCTGATAATGGAGCCTGACTGAGCCAGGGGAGGGTTGGGAAGGGGGGGCGAGGCCGGAGGGGTACAGCTATGGAGGAGTATGTCGGCCTCTTCGACGGCCCACCCATAAGGGGCCGTCGTCTGCTGTGCCTTTGAGTCCGTGAAGTAAAAAAAAAGAAGAATGCCCGTTCGGAGGACGGCAGCCAGCACGCCTCCGCCAAGGTTTTGCCGCGGGTGCCTGGTGCCCCAACGCGCTGTTGAGCATCTAGAAAGTTCAACTGCATGTGGCCGTTTCGCTCGCCTCGCTCGCCGCCTTCGCCGCCACCAGCGCATCCCTCGGGCACGCTCCATCTCCATTTTGTCTCGACAGACCGCGCCGTCATCCTCGGGAGCCTCGCGCTGCTCGTACTCGCGTATGAGGTGCTCCACCGCGCCCGCCATCCTCCGAGCCGGCCAAGCCTGCTGCGGCGCGTCTCGAGCCTGCTGCGGCGGGAGGGCGCGGGTGCAGCGCCGGCCGCCTACGATCCCCACCCAATGTGGAGCGCGCCTTCCAAGCTGCGGTACGGGTGGACGTTCTTCGCGGCGTTGCTGGTCGGGCTGGTGGCCGTCATCTTTGTCGGCAGCTTTGCGACGGCCCGCGTCGTCTACACCGCCTGCAGCCTCTCCCTGCTCGCCTACCGCGTCTCCTACTACGCCGAGCGCGGCCTCCTCCTCTACTGCGTCGACCTCTGCTACTGGGTCCACCTCGTCGGCCTCGCCGCCCTCTGGCTCGCAGAGCTGCCCGGCGAGTGGGCGCTGGCGGCGCTCGCGTCTGCAGTCGGGCCAGTCGGCGGCGCTGTCTTCATGCTCCAGTCGCCGCTCCTCCTCCACCACCCGGAGGCGAGAGCGCCCCTCCCCTGCCCCTCCCCGCCTCTGCCGCCCGACGCCTCTCCACGCCCGGCCCTGCGCGCTCAGGCGTTCGAGTCCTTCTTCCTGCACGTGGTGCCAACCTGGGTCGCATGCGTGGTGCGCTGGACGCGGATGCCCCGAGATCACCCGAGATTACCCGTCGTTGCCCGAGAGTAGGTCGCATACGTGGTGCGCTGGAGGCTGATGCCGCCGCTTGCGCCGGAGCTGCTCGCGGTGCGCCACACGATCCGGCTCGGCTTCACCTCCGTCTACCTGCCGTGGGCTGCCGCCTACCTCCTCTTTCTGCTTGCCAAGCCGTACACGCCCCTCGCGCAGTACGAGACGCTCTTCGACTGGTACACGAGCTCGGTGGCAGGAGGCGGAGGAGGAGGCGGAGGAGGAGGCGGGTCGGACCCGCCGTCGGGCGCGCGCGCCTTTGTGCGTTACGCGTGGAAGCCGATCGCCTACATCGTGGCGCACGCGCTGCTGTCGCTGGAGGGGTACGCGGCGGCGGCGCTCTGCCTGCGCTGGGAGGCGGTCATGCTCGCCTGGATCGCGATGATCTTTGCGTGCAACATCCTCTACGCCTTCGACTTTTACCGCGCCTCCGCAGACCCCGCGTACCGCCCTGGGAACAAGCTCGTCGCAGGGCTGCGCGATTCCGCCATCTCCTGGGCGGTGATGCTGCCGCTCTGGTACTGCTGCGAGCAGGGCCACCTGTGAACGCTTTGTGTGATGCCTGCTAAAAGTACCTGTGTTAGTGCCAGTGCGCGCCAGTCCCTCCCTTGGGTTGTTCGTTTTTTTCTTTCTTTTTCGGGATGGGAGGACGGCACGCCGCCGCGACGCAGGGATTTTTGAAAAGGAGAGAGGGGTGCGCGGTGATGCGCTAGCCGTCGCCCACCCTAGCTTCGCTTGGGGCTTGTGGGCGTCCGCCTCTTCCTATCTCTCTTCGCAGTCTCTCGCCGAATCTCGCGCTGCAACCTTCATACCACCTCCCACCTATCTCTTCGTTCGCTTCTCTTGTCGCTTCTTCCTCTGTCGCGTCGCTCTCCTCTGCTCGTCCTGCGACGGCGCCGCCGCCTGCTGCTCCCTTGCTCTCGCTGCTTCTCTCGCCTTTCGTCGCAGCTCTGCCCTCCTTGCGGCATATTTTGGCCCCTCGAGTTTATCGAGCTCTCCTCGCGCAAGGACGACTCTTCTGACGCCCACCGATCATTTGCCGCCAACCAAGTCATATCGTTGCTCAGGTCAACTCTCTCTTCGAACACTTGTACTTCCACAGATGATGTTGGCACTGGGGTTCCCTTCGGGTGTATCGTGACAGCTGCCGACTGGATTACCACAGGTGTGTCGCCCTCCTCTGGTTCGTCTTCCTCGGCTTCCTCCCGTTCGTTCGGCTCTACGTTCAGTACGTTCAGCGTGGCTCACCCTCCATGCCGTGAACACAGGCGCTCCCAGTGCCGTGCGAGGTAAAAATTCCACCGATTTTCAAGTGAGTCCTGTAACGGACCATCGGCGCCTGCAGAGCGAGGCGGCATTGTGAAAGAGGCGCTCGGACACACTTGAACGAAACGCATGACCTAGGATTCTTCCATCCAGCCCACTCTTTCCTTTGGCTTTGCACCTGATGCTACAGAGGGCTGGCAGCGAGCTGACGCGGGAGGGAGGCCATCGCACCACCAGGTGGAAGAGAAGCTAGTTCTTCACTTCTCTTGTGTCTCTTTCCGGTGGCGGGATCGCCAAGCTCGTCGCCCCCCATTCTCTTTCCGGTGGTTGTCGCGGAAGCTCGCCTGCAATCGCGGAAGCTCACCGATTTGCGGCTCGACTCGCTGCCCTCTCGGCGCGCTGCGGTGAGCGCAGCCTTGCTGGCCTCTTGCGCCTCGCTACCGCGCTCGCCGCCTCCAGCCTTTGCTTTCGAGAACCGCCTGCCACCGGACGAGCTGGAGCTCAAGTACAAGCAGCCGCGGACGGCAGGGCCACAGCCGACGGATCTCGGCGTGCGGGCGGGCGGAGCGCTGAAGCCGTGCACCGACGGTAAGCCGCACTGCTTCTCGTCGAGCCCAGAGTCCTTTGACGGGTATGAGGACGCCGCCGACGAGGCAGCTGGCTGGCTCGTGCAGCCCTTCCGATTCGACATGCCGCTGGCCGACGCGGTGGCGGACGTCAAGGAGGCTATCGTGTCTTACCCGCCGGGGCAGCGCGGTATTGACGGAGGCGGCTTCAGGGTGGTCAAGGAGTCGACGTCGGCGCAGGCGGCTTACATCTACGTGCAGTACGAGTCCCGGCGCAAGGGCTTCGTCGACGACATGGAGTTCGCGCTGGCCAACGGCGTCGTCAACGTGCGCACGAGCTCGCGGCTCGGCTACCTGGACATGGGCGTGAACGCGAAGCGCTTCACCTGGTTTGCGGAGCGGCTCGGCGCGCAGAGGGGGTGGAAGACGGTGCCGCTGCGAGCCAAGGGGCACGAAGAGTATTTCGCGCTCAACGGCATCACCGACAAGGATATCATGAGCTCTTGACTCTGACCGGCCATCATTTCTGCGGGAGAAAATCTGTTAGGTCTGTGTGCACGTTTAGTGTAGGTCCAGGCCGTAACGTGTATGTTCCCGGGCATTATAGTTCGCTATATTACAATACCGCCATCTCGGCGGTGGACAGAGAGCGTGGACACACACCACGCGCGCCTTATCCGCGCGACACCCCGCGCCCTATCCGCGCTATACTTATCGCTGCGAAATTGCGTGTTATTGTAACTTACGTCCTCCCGACAGCGCGACAGACTCGCCGGGAAACCGCCGAAATTCGCACAATGTCTGGACACACACGCCCGCCACATGACGCCCACCGCCGCCGCGTCGGTCGGCGCGCGCCGACGCCGACCATCACCACCGACCAACGGCTCGCACGGCCGTGCGGTGAGCAAAATTTGGGTCGCTGCGCGCCTGCCGGATGCTCTGCGACGTCTGGACGCTCGCCAGAAACGCCAGGAAGCTTGCCTTCCACCCCTGGGCCCGAGGGCGAACGGCAGTGGTCGGCAGCCTCTGCGACGCTCCGATCGGCTCCTCGACCTCATCGCCTGCGACGAACCAGCATGGCTCGTCGCTCGACGGCAGCCTGCCCAGTATGCTCTTGGCATTCTGTACAGCCTCGCCAGGCTCTCTGAGACGGCCTGCAGGGCCGGCGCGGACCGCCTCGGGCGCGATGGCCCTCCTCAGTACCTACCCCTTCGATGCCTGTCGGCTCTCCAATCTCGTCGCCGGCGGCAGGCCCGCATGGCGTGCTGCTCGATGGCAGCCTGCTCAGTACGCCTTGGACAGTGACTTGTGCCTCGCTGCTCTTACTGCAGCCGCCTCCGTGTTGGAGCGCGACAGCGCCTCGGTCGCCGCGCCAGCGCGCGGCTCGCCCGGCTCCTCGCGCGCAAAGTACTTTAGCGTGCCGCCGCGCTCGATGGCGCGCATCCGCTCGCGGTCCGAGACGGAGGCGGGAGGCGGCGTCGGCATGGGGGCGACGAGGTGTAACGTCGCGGGTGGAGGGGGGAAACCCGACGAGACCTGTGTGATCTGTGATCTGTAAGGGTCCGCCCGCAGGCGCATTTTGTATACCGAGGCGGTGCCCGGTGCCGAACCTGTCGGACCTTAAGACAGCATTGTAGATCCCTGGGCGAGGGTGGTGGCGTCCCCGTCGGGAGAGGCTGTCTGGGGGGCGCCCTCCCACCGACCGTCACCTCACCAGCGTCCCGGTGAGTACGGCGATCAGAGCTCCCCCGCTCGTCAGACTTCCCCGTTGGAGGTAGGCCGCTCGTCTAGCCAATCAGCCTTAAGCGAGCGGCCTGGCCGTTGGAATGGCCGAGGTTGGTGGACTTGCGTCCTCGCATCGATCGGGTTACAGGTATATCGTTATGAACAACAAGCACCACTCAGGGAGGCGAGCCTCAGTTACAAGCCGCCTCCCCTAGACTTGCCTCTCTCTCGTTTCTCGCCCTTCGTCTCTTGCGCGCTTGCCGTCCGAGCCTTGCCCCTCGCTTGTCGCTTTCCCGCACCCACCCCGGTGGGGGGGCGCCTTCGTCCCTTTCGTCCCTTGCAGTGCGTGCGCGCTCCTGTCTGTACGTCATCGGCTCCCCCTCCGCTGGGTGCTGTTGGCTCGCCCCCTCTCCCTGACTCATCGAATCACTCCGTTCGTTCTCAAATCGCCCCCGCTTCCTCGGCGGCTGGGATGCCTCGTGCTCTGGCTGTCCTGTGCGTGCAGTTCTGTTTCGTATTGCTAAAAATCTCACAAACCAGCCCCCCCGGAAGTTGGCCATCACCTCGACGAGGCGCGCAGCCGGCTCCTTGAGAGCCGCAACCAGGTCGCACACTGGTACTCGAGTACCGACAATCAAAGAAAGAGCGCAGGTCGTAGACGTAGTTAGTTGTAGATGTTGGTGCCCTCGTAGCCCGGCATCGCGCCCAGCTTCTCAAAGGTGTCGGCCAGCCCTCCACTGAGGGCGTCGGCCGACGGTTTCTTTCTTTTTTTGCACAACACTGTTGCAAAACTCTTTTTTTGAAGGTAGACGCATCTAGGTCGTACGACCCGCTCAAGTTGACGTCCTCCTCGCGCAGGATTTTGAAAAAAAGAAAGCGCTGGCCTCTGCGCCCCGGCGAACTCGCTCTGAGCCTAGCGCAGCGCGAACCCGCGCACACAAAAGCTTTTCGCTGCAACCCGGCCGGGCAAAACTGAAAAAAAGTTATTGTGAAGAGACGCTATTGTGCGTCTTGGGGCCGGGGTTGTAAAATTGTGTGAAGAGACGCTGCTGACTATCCCTTTCTCGACTGTCTGAGCTTGTGCGTCTGGCTGCGTCCTTTTGTTTTTGTGAAGAGACGCTGTGGCCCGCCGGTTTTTGCTGAGAATCGCCGTACTGTTGTGTTTATGGCGTCGACGATCGCCCCTCCGCCCGCCCCTCCGCCCTCGGCGCCGTACTGCTGGGACCTGCCTCTCCCGGAACTGAACCACCTCCACTATCCAAACACCGTCAACTGGACCGTCCCTGCCGATTGCAAGCTGCACGACGGCTCGACCACCCCCGCCTGCTACCGCGATTGCGACTACTTCGCCGGGTTCGACGAAACGGACCTCGCCCTGCAGGACGCGGAGACGCACGCGCGGCGCTTCCGACCGCCCCACCACAGCCCCAAGTGCGATGAGCCCCTCGCGTGGATGGACGGCACGAACGCATCCACGCAGTGTTGCGCCTGCGGCGGCGGCACGCTGACAGCCCCCTCGCCGTCGCCGCCGTCGCCGCCCTCGACGCCGCCGCCGCCGTTGCCGCCGTCGCCGCCGCCGCCGCCGAGCATTCCCAAGAGTATCTCGTTGCCCCCCGCGCCGCCGCCGTCCCCCTCGCCCCCATATCCGGTGCCGGATTTTCGTCCTGACGACCAGGACCCAATTGGAGGAGGCGGCGGCTGCAGCCTCGAGTGCGTCGTGGGCATCGCGGCCGCCATCGCGATCTGCGTCACGCTCTCCTGCCTGCTCGGCATGTACCTGTACCTCCGCAACCGCTCCAAGCCCCCCGGGGACATCGAGGCGGACGACCAGTTTGACACCTTCGGCAACGGCAACGGCTTCGAGCCCTCGCTCAAGACGCCGCGACCTTCGGGTGCCGGGGCCCCCGCGTACGTGTTTGAGCCCTCGCTCAAGACGCCGCGACCTTCGGGTGCCGGGGCCCCCGCGTACGTGTTTGAGCCCTCGCTCAAGACGCCGCGACCTTCGGGTGCCGGGGCCCCCGCGTACGTGTTTGAGCCCTCGCTCAAGACGCCGCGACCTTCGGGGGCGCTGCAGCCCGAAGAGCACAGCGCCGCGGGGGCACGGTTCGAGCCGTCGCTGACGACGACGCGCAACGCGATCCCTCTCTCCGCGAGTCCCCAGTCGCCCCAACCTAACACATCGAGCCCGTCGGTGCGCATCATCACCGCGCAGCCACCCCACCCCCTACCCATTTCCCCCTGTCCCTCCCCCCCACACCTCGCCGCCCCCGCGCTGCAGGACCGAGTGTCTGAGGTGGACGCGCACAAAGAGCTGGGCATGCTGGACAAGTGCGCCACAGAGCCACAGAGCAACGTCCCCTAGACCCCCCCCCTCCCCCCCACCCCACCCCAGCCACCCACCCACCCACCACCACCACCACCACCACCACCACCACCACGCACCACAACCCCCCCCCCCCCCCCCT